GAACTTGCTGGGAGGGGAAATGTGTCGGAGCAGCAGGATCGGCGGATACCCGGAGAAAGGAGACAGTTAGCGTAACTACCGTTAACTAACTAACTAGTTAACTAGTTAAGTTAACTAACGTAATCCACAAGCGGGCTGTACACACAAGCGAGCTGTACACCCCATCCGAAATCGCGCCTTCCTACCTACCTACCTACTTCAACCACCTACCATGCCGCCAGTTCGCTCTGAATCTCGGCAGAAATCGGCCAATCAAGAGGGCAAGATCATATTAGCCCTAAATGATATTAAAAATGGCCGCGCCAAATCTATTCGTGCAGCAGCAAAGCTATACGAAATACCCAATACAACCCTGGCTACTCGCGTGAATGGGATAAAAGCACGCCTAGATATGCGCGCAAATTCGCGTAAATTGACCGACCTCGAAGAGGATTCCCTTGTTGAATGGATCTTCTCTATGGATTCTCGTGGAGCCGCGCCTAGGCCTGCTACTGTAGGAGAAATGGCTAGTATTCTTCTTGCTGTACGAGGAATAAACCCTTCGCCTACTGTTGGTGTTAATTGGCCATCAAATTTCATTAAACGCCGTGATGAGCTTCGTACACGCTTCTCGAGACGTTACGACTACCAGCGCGCCCTAAACGAAGACCCGAAATCGCTACGAGCGTGGTTTGCGACAGTACAGCGCGTTATCGATGAGTACGGTATTCAACCGGAGGATATCTACAACTTCGATGAGACAGGATTCGCGATAGGCCTTATTTCGGCGCAGAAGGTAGTTACGAGAGCAGAATACTACGGTCGGCGATCTATCCTACAGCCAGGAAATCGCGAATGGGTTACTGCTATTGAAGCAATCTGCGCAGATAGCTATTCGCTACCGCCATACATGATCTTCAAAGGCAAAGTTGCTATTGCGGGTTGGTTTGATGACCTACCAAAAGATTAGCGGTTTGAGGTCTCGAATAACGGCTGGACTACCGATGAGATTGGCCTTCGCTGGCTACAAAAGCACTTTATTCCATACACGAATTCGCGCGTACGAGGCCGGTTTCAGCTATTGATTCTTGACGGCTATGGAAGCCATCTTACACCCCAATTCAACCGGATCTGTGTGATCACGGGCCTATGGCTGCCTCAGGCACCCTAACCCTTCCTTTTCCCGACGACCAGAGCCAGACGGGGCCATGTCCTTAACGCACGGCTCCGAACGGTCACGTGAAGCCTCCGGCCCTCCCGCACACACGTATATAACTTCGTTCGTAGCCATACTTAGAAGAACCATGTCCCATCTACCTTCTGGATCTCAAGAGTCTTCCACGTTCAGGCGCTCCAAAGAAGCTTACCGAGGATGATCGTGACTATATATTCGAGACTATACAAGAAAAGCCGTCGATTTTGATCGAAGATCTACTGGCGGAGGTTGATTTCAAGGTACGCCGTATATTAATATGGCGACTGACCTACGAAATGGGTCTTCGAAAGTGGAGAAAGATACAAAGGCCTTATTTAACGCCTTTATACGCCGAAAAACGCCTATAATGGGCCCTCCGATATCAGTATTTTACCCCCGAAGATTGGGCTCGCGTCTACTAGTCTGACGAATGCACTGTTGAACGTGGAATCGGTAAGCGTCGGGAATAGATATTTACGCGTCCGAGTAATCAGCTTTTTCAGCATCTAAAGGAAGGCTCTCAAGTTCAAATGATTCCGGCGCGAGGGAAACAAATTAAGCAGATATTTTAGGCTACTTTTTACGGTTTACCGCGTCGATTTAGTTTAATCCTACTATTCGGAGATCCTGAGTCTCGACGAGGCGGTGTTTCTTCGCGTACGATTAAAGCGCTCTATCGACGGGTCTTACCTACGCTACTTAATAGTATTAATCATAATGCTATTTTTCAGCAAGATAACGCGCCTATTCATACTACATATATCGTACGAGACGCTCTTAATAAGCTCGAATACGAGATTATGGAGTGGCCTCCCTACTCGCCTGATTTAAACCCAATCGAGAACCTTTAGGCGCTGCTTAAAGCTAAAATTTTAAAGCGTTATCCTAAGCTTATGCATCTACCGAATAGCGAATCTACGCTAGAACTTCTACTAAAAGCTGCTCAGGAAGCTTGGGAAAGCCTAGATATCGAGATCTTAAAGCATCTTTCAGAGACTATACCTCACAGGGTGGCTGACGTTATTAAATATAAGGGCTGGCATACTAGTTATTAAATTACATTTGGAATTCGAGGTTTTTGCCGGCAGTATTAATAAGTGGGTCCTAGGCCGAAGTACTCGAGGTCAAATACTTATGTTACACCACTGTAGATTAGTATAAGTAATAAACTATACTTATTTAGATTATAATAACTTATACTAGTTTAAATTAATCTAAGCTATTTGTAGATGTTGATCTACAGGAAGGAAAGGAGGAAGGTGAAACACAACTTGATTAGTGTAAGGAATGGGAAGGAAGTGAGGCTATCTAATGTGTGGGTTTGTGAGTCCCTCGGTGGTGAGTCGGCAGAATCATCCAAACATAAGCTCTGGTATATATATAGCTTAGAAATAGACTAGAGACTAGAGATCTTCTTGATTTATCAGTTAAGTCAAGTAAGAATTAGTTTATAATCTAAGAGATCTGTATTTCACTAATGACCTATATACGTATAATATGTAGTTAGTAATAAGCTAGTAGGCTAGAGGTGATAGGGCAGATATATAGGGTTATAACAGTGCACTACCAAAAAATCGTGTTTTTCCAAATTTTATCGAGTTCAATCGAGTTCGCGGGCCCGCGAGCTCTGGCCCGCGAGCTAAGGGCAAATTTAGGAATGAAGACAAATCGGTGCTAATGGAATCCCGTATGCCGTTGCTCACACAGTGTACCATTAGGCCAAAAGGTGTAAGCCAAACGGTTCGATAGAACAGTTCGTCTTGCAACGGTATAGATAGACAGTTGATCCCGCAGCGCAATATATGCGCATCCTTTGGGATCACACTAATCCGGTTTATCCGGGTTGTGGCCGTCCCATCACGTCTGGCCCGCGGGCCCGCGACCTCTGCGCCCATGCTGGACAACTGTTCAATCCCCTTACCCCACCTTCTTCCTTGTTCGCTCTTGCGAATCAATCAAGCTCAAAGTCGAAGCCACTCCGCGAATTCAGCGTGGGCTTCTGGCCGGCATAATTCTACAGTGGAGCAGGGGGTTAGGAAACTTTTGGAATGTTACTATACCTATGACCTGAATTCACTAAGCAAGCTCCACAAGGCCGGCTTCGCAATCAGTACTAACGGTTTTGACCTCGCTAAATATTTGATCATCAAATGACCAATTATTGCTTCGATAAGTCCAATTTGAGAACCGTTGTGAACCAGCTTTTTCATGTAACTTTCTTTGTTTCGGTCATCTACATAATCGAGATAAAAGTGGCGCTGTTATTTATTACGGTACGGTGTAACGCGAGACCACGCTTGAAACTGCCCCACCTTGCTGATCACAGCCGGGGTTTTGTGGAAATCAAATGTGAAAGTAACAGTAGTATGACCATATTCGCGATGGTGCCATGTAGCTACCGAGATTTTACCGCTCTCCCATACAGTAGGCAACGGAAAATCAACCTTCGAGGGAGGCTTCGCCCTATGCTGAGAGCCTGAGGCGTAGCGCTTTCTCGTTCAAAGCGAGGTACCGGACCTCTTATGTTTTCTCTGTTATGCGTACGCTGCTGCGGCGTAGTTGCTCGGCAGTAGACTGCTTATGCACGTACTTCAAAATGTACGATCATGCATGTGGCCTTATTTCAACCTCATATTCCACTCCCATCGAAACTTGTCAATTATAATACTATACACCAATCCTCTCGGTGCATCAATCGCCTGGGAATACCAAACACCTGAGTTCCAGGGAGGTCTGATGGGCAGGATGATCAATGACCATGCCTCATTTAAAACTCTGAGTGTTGGTCGGCCGATCACTAAGCTAGTGTTCATGATTCTGGATAATGTGTGTCTGCCTTGGTCTTAAACTGACATGGTGCATCAACCGCTGTGGAGCAAGCAAAGAAAGGAATACCAGGTCGGCGTATCAGGCGGACGCTGTTCGAAAAGAGGGAGGTTCGAGCACTCACGCTCGGCCCCTTCCTAGCCCACGGTGGAGTACAGATCTTAAACTGACCAATAGTCGCACGCCGACCCCGAGCACAGGCTTACTATGACAGCCGTCCTTATATTGAGTATACTACCTCGTTGCGGCCAGCGGCCAACGTCCAACCAACCATTCTTTGCTGGGTTACGGGCAATTACTTCCCGGATGAGCCGAACTACCAATCCGTGGGAACATGATTTGCATGAACCTTCGGTGGGCCAATTGAGTACATACTTACCAGACAACCTAAACGCGTTGATTTTCCCTGTTCGTATGCCGCTATACGTATTATAGCTTGCTGTTCTCTGGATTTTCAAGTACGACTTACTGGTGACCTTTTTTTTCTACGAAGTGTGCCAGTTGCAAGGTCATACTCGTGCCCTGCATTCAAGCAGGAGTAAGAAATAATCTGTCAACAACAGTCGTGGGATTTTAAGCCAAACGTCAAGTAACAAGTCAGAGCTCGAGGGGATGTTCCTCTACAACACCATTGATATAAGAATGTTGGCAGCTGCCGTCGACCGTTCCACGCGGGATTGGTATGAATGCTAATTTTATGAATGCTCGACTCCTGCATCATGGCAGCTATTGTGAACACTGAATCGTCGGTCAGAGAGCAATCGTGGTATCTGACCTCCTATCATCTTCCACACCTCTGCTGCGCCAGTTCTTTTGGTGGAACATCCCTGCCCAAGCTAATGCGCGATATGCCCCTCTCTCTCCAACTCGGGGCCAACACCGGCATGTCCAGCAGTACTAGTCAAGCAGGCCTCGAGCCATTGATATAAAGAGTGATCGTGACCATATCTCTGCGAACCACAAGATCCTCCTGTCATTCTCCCCCGATTGACTGCATCACATGGCTGAAGAGACGATATCAGGAGACAACTGCTTTCCGGCGCGCAACACCCAACAGCCGTATTGCGAAAACGCTGATGAGCAGGACATCTCCGGTTCAGCGCCAGTTGCCCAGGGCCTTTCACCCCCCTCATCATGTCAAGTGCCACAATACAATCAACAAGGCGTCACGCCGAACGGGGAGTACTTCCTCGACCCAACATTTCTGAACTTTCCCCCGGCTCCTTCATACCAAACATCCACGACCCAACCTGCTTCAAGCCTTCCACATCCAAGCCAAGTCAATATCAAGGTCATAGAGCAGAGCATCATTCGAGGTGCTGCAGAGGAGATCTACGTATGTGCCGCTCTCCTATTGACCATGTTAGAACCTAGCTGATAGGCCATGCCGTCCCAGGCACAAATCAGGGACCAGCTATTATCTAATCGGGGGTTTCCCAAGTTCTCTCCCAGGTACTTGCATTTTACATGGCCGACATCAGTGGTCAATTCGGGGTAGGAGACCAGGGCGATGTCTGAGGGAATAGAAAGACGAAAAGCAATTGATTTTGTCTCGATACTTTCTGTAATCTGGTTCAGGAGGCGACTCCTGGATAACGCTATCATTTGTTATCAATATGTGCTAAAACACGGCTCTCGAAAAAAGCGAGGGGAAGGCAGAAATAAAGATGGCGATCTTATGTGCTAACTGTTCAACGGCCTCGAAAGTCTGTGGCGCTCAGCAGCCATGTATCCAGGCCGCTGCCGTATACATGATCTATTCGGTAAAGCTGTGCATTGTGATGTGATGTATCGAATCTCTACGTTGCACGTAATAATCACGACAAGAGTACCGAGACCTATCATGAGTACCCAGTATGTCCAAAGGAGCCTTATTGTAAGCATTGAAGATGTCTGGAGGTACATCTATCGACGCCGACCTTGAAATGGCTACGTCAGTGCCTCTTGCCTCTATAACGAGGGACGTACCCACTTTTCCCCTCTTCCATATCCGCGTGGCGCGATTTATAAACGACTCCCGCACCATGTTACTTGATTACCACTATCCCCCGACTTACGTCCCGAACTCCTAATAGCAACCACCGATAATGAGTGACATCTACTCCGCGAAACGATAAGACAGGGAGACGGGCGTTGACTGCCAGATACCGACCCACGGTGCCCCGAGAACCAGAATATGTCTAGGAGCTAGTAACTAGGTGTCGTAACTTCTTCCTCGGGTTGCGTATCTGCGCGTGTCGGAATGCGTGCTCGTGACTTACGACGTAACGACAGTCAGAAGTGACGGAGACGGTAAAATCAGATGGCGTAATACTGCCCTTATCCTATTCACCAATGATCTCTTTCTTAGCGCCAAGGTGGAAATCGAGGGCACGTTGGGGGGAGGCAGAACGGAAGACCTGACCGGGGTAAAATCGGTGATTTCTCCAGCCCCCCAACCCTGTGTGGGCGGGCAAACTCTGAAGGGAGGTAGGTAGGCGCTCCATCGTCTCACCCGGGATCTCGACTGGTTTTTCTGTCCTGATTGCAGTGACATTCCTCGACCATCTAATCAAGAAATTAATGTCCCACAAGTCCTACGCGAACCGTGATATTACCTCATGCTGCTAAGTAATTGTCGCCACGGATTGACCATCGATCCTATGCTTGACTCAAAATCAGACAATGTGCTGGCATCAGACGCGCTGCTAGATAATGGGTCTTGCTTGGGGTGGGGCCTTGGGCTCTTGTTTCTCGCGGGAAGCTTCGGCGAAAGGCTCAAAAGACTATACACTATACGCTAAGGTTGAACACGGAACTACCTTCTAGACCTCTATCGAGTCATCAAGGCACGAGATGATTGGGGAGGGAGACGGAGGGGAGGGGGGAGTTCGTAGGGTCCTTGATATATGAGGACTAAGTCGGGTTTGTCGTGGGGACTCCACTCTCGCCCCCGCGGCCCCTTTCCTCTCCCCCACTCCGTGAGTCCCGTGAGTCCCGTGAGTCCCACTTGTGGCCAACGGGTCAGAAATTGCTGATCGGTAAATAAACGAAGACAGAAAAGAATCCAGGGGTAAGGTGACACTGTCGGTCATTGGTGTATCTATTCCGAGCGTAACTTCGCTTGTACCAATCCTTCCAACAATGCTGTACATGGACAAGGACAGCGTGAAGCCCAGCGAACTCGGGATGAAGGCAAAGTACGGCTCAGTAATCGGGGTTTGGCCGGACGCACGATGCCCGGTAATTGATCTTCCTACGAATCTACACTTCCAAAGCATTCATTGGTGGCAATAAGCGTAAACGCGTCAAACAAGTGGAAGGAATAATTTAGGACGATTTAAGTTGACATACCTACAGAGTTACATACAACCTTCCTACTAGGTAAGAGATATACACCAGCAGACAGTAAGAGGGAAGGAAGGAAATCCTACCGACGCCCCATGCAGGGAAAACCACCCTAGGCCTACGTTGGTCGTACGTCACAGGGATATATCGGGATGTATTGCTGTAATGTAAGTAAGTATTGATTTATTATGAAACCCAGAACTCCATTGGTATGCCCGTGATATTCAGTAACTCAGAAACAGGAGAAGGGGTTGACAACTACGCGAGCCCCACCAAAAAAACGCGGTTTAGATCCTTGGATCTAGGGAAAAAGCGATCGCCCTTGCATTACCGCCGCAGGCATATACACCCTCCGGATCAGGATGTATTACAGTAGTAACATGCTATATGTGTACCATGACTGGTTCATTCCAGCTCATACCAAGTGACTCGGCCAAGTAAGAAAAAGCGACTATATGAGAGTCGGCCAATTTCGTACTATTATCTTCAAAAGTCTTTTGTCATTCAACAGTGGGGTGACTGGGGGTCTTATCGCATCAATGACCGAGGAATCAGGAATCCGAGCAAAAGTCTCGACCGACCGATAGATCGACGCCCTAGGCCGAAAGGCGAAGAAAAGCGAATGATGAATTAATAGGGCCGGGCGCTAAAGCGCTTCTGGCGTAATAGAAATAGGAAGCTGGACCGTGAGAGACTAAACTCAATACGAGATCATTGTAGCACGGATATGTCGGAATAATTCCGTAGCAGACAAGGGGACAAGGCTCAAAGAACTTCGATTCCGATAGAACAACATCACCAGTCTCAACTAGCGTCCGGTTCATTAGACGGTTTATGAGCGTATTGTGATGACCGACCACCCTTATTCGATCATATACCGTAATTTGTTGTTGATAATGTGGAAATTGTGTTATGAGTAGGATCGTGTTGAAGCTCTACTCTACGTATATTGTGTGTCGGTATGACTACGGACACACGAGCTTTATTGTTACACTCCGACCTCCACCTATCTAGCCCCTGGTACACGCCCCAACGTTGCCATCTTGGATAGTCACACCCGAACCAGAAATGATCCCAGTCACCTCTGCCCGTCGTCGGTTTTTCGGTCGTTCCCGCCGCCCGAGTCATTCGGTCGATAGTCCGTGTGAGTTTTAAGGCTAGCGCCTAAAGATCTCAGGAGGAAATGTGTCGATCCGACAGCGGGTTTAGGTCACTAAAATCTCGCGAATACTCTCTTGCATCTAGATACTGGTTCAAGTGACATCAAACGCCCGGAGCCGATAACGCGGATTTATTTGCTAGCGTAATGACCTGGCTATGTTGAGACAACTGCTAGCTGCTTGATGTCTAGTACCCTGTCAATTGAGAGGGGAGCAGGTTTCGTGGTTACCGATAATGTGAAAGGTCGCCAAGGCATTGAACAAAGCTTCTCGATTCCAACGCCATGAATATCATATTCACTACTAGTTAGTTGTATCCTGGCGTGAGTGGTTAATTGACATTCCCACTTATGGCGTTACGTTTCCATTCAATAGTCTGCGGTAATTCTGAGCACCTTTTGAGAGATGACCAGGTCTTAGATACTGCTTGAAACAATTGAAATTCCTTATCGTAATGAGTAATGCCAAGATCAACCATCAATTACACCATACTTTGGGGTCCGTACATAAATCTAGAGATATTTTCTCAATAGTATCACCCAATATTCAGACCACAGATTTCAACATACAGAGATTTTGAAGAGCTTATGATGGTTTTTCTTGCTTTCGTTCGCCGCTGAACGAAAGTAGGTACCGTCGATCACCATCATCTTGTCAATGACCACTGCTCCGAGTCGATGTGGCATAATAGTATCCTCATTGATGGTAAGAAGTGCCACAGCTTATTGTGCCGCGATGAAGATCTGAGCAATTTTGACGTGATGGCTTACAGTGGTCAACTTGTGCGCGCGTAGATATTTCAGACGGTGGCACTCGCTTGTTGTTGTTTCCAACCTTCCCAACCTTTCCATCGCCTAGGTCTGCTTGAATTCTACGAAATAATCATGACCTCACTGTTACGTGTGACCGGCGTCTTATCCTACTCTCGTCTGATACGAACAAGTGATTAAGGGATAAGCTTGGCGCGCAGGTCAGCAGGCCTGATCGTTTACCCAGTCGCCCGGTGGTGTGCCCGCTCGAGCGTTCTAATTCATAAGCTGTTTCGGAATATGTGTTCTTCATCAACCACCCCGTCCTCCCAAAGAGAGCCGTTGGACTCAGGCCATCTCTACGGAGAGCTTCTTGCGGGATATCGACCCTACTTTAGCGATATTGATGGAAGTCGACACGCAACAGTACGTCTTGATTTGAATTCAAAGCAGAGGATCTGTTATTATCCGCGCAAAGTACATGGTGGATACCAGGCATTCTTTCTAGACCAGCTTTTCGCAGACTGCTGTAAGCCCGCAGTTACGGCGAGCTTGACAGTTGACTACAAGAAATCTATTCACCCAGACGCGAGACTGATTTTGCGTGCATGGCCGGTGAAAGCCGAGGGCCGGAAGATTTACATGGAAGGCACCATTAAGATGGCAGATCCTGTTTCCGGTGAGATGGTGGTAGCAGCTCGCGCAACTGCGATCTTTGTTTTTAGAAAAAACAAGCATCGAGTTCACTAAGCGATCCAATGAGGTTATGTAAATACTTTTAATGGATGCGTCATGTTGGCAGCCTCGACGTCTCGGTATTAGAGATTGTTATCCCCTAGGCCCTGGTTTTCGGTTGACCGTTGGCATTTACAGTAAGTTATAAGAGTCGTGAATGTGATTTCAATTTTCATAGCTTAAAAAGCCTAGCGAATATACGGATGATATTACTACAGTACTTAGCAGCTGGTAATTCTCCCCGGGGGTCTTGTATGTATATAGTGCGACGGAGGGGAATTGATAATTATAGGCATGACCGTATCACGTGTGAGTATCGACCTATGATCGTAAATAGAGAGAAGAGCAAGTTATACTTCTAGCAGCTAGCTATAGTTGATCTTCGAGGATAAGATTTTCCACAAATTTCAGGTCACGAGTAGAATATGACTGAACTGTGTTATTTCATAAAGCAAAGATCATATATGAAGGGCTTGAGTAAGGGAATTCAAGAAAAATATAAGGATCACACGCAGCCTTTAGCGGGGCTCCTATTCTACCGAACAGTTGCCGAAAGCGCGCGGGTAGGTTCGGAGAAACAATCTTCCGTCAATTCCCCCCATCTCTAGCGAGAGTACACCACTGCACACAGCGAGAGAGTTGGGTTATCATGCCGTGATATCACCTTGACATGTCATGGCCCAGACTCAAGAGCGCGATATACCACAAGAAGTATGGCTCGGTATCGACATTGGAACAACAACCACGAAAGTTGGTATTTCGGTGATCCACCATTCGCCCAAGAAACACACCGACTACACCCTGCAATTTCCGCTGAGCGGCGCTTACAGCAATGCGAAAATGACGGACGAGCTCGACTCCGCGATGATATTCAATACGGAGACAAGGGCATGGTCATTTGGGTCAGCTGGGCTGACAGTCCATAATGCACACGTCTTCAGGTGTATCAAGCTCGGAGTGATGGGTTTGGATCCATATGCCGGACGTCTAGCTGCTTCATGTGCAAGGCTAGTTGGTACCGAGGGGTGCCCCGAAGAGTTCACGGTCGCCTCCCTTTTCCGCACGCTTTTTGAGTATGTGCGTGAGGTAGTCAAAAACCATCTCGTTCATAAATACGGCGGCTCTTGTGACAGGATCGATGCCTGGCTTACCTACCCAGTCAACTACAATGAACCCTTACGCGTGCTTCTTCTCCAAGAAGCTATGGCAGCTGGATTGTATGTGAGGGGAGCTCTTTCGGAACCAGTCTCAGCCGCCTATCTTTCTGAATTCAAAATCCCTGAAATTGATGACACAAGGATGATACTCGATATCGGTGGGGTAACGATGGTAGGTGGAGGTTGCTGATTATTGTTTCTGTGGCCGTAACTAAGAAGTCTAGGATGCCACCGTCGTTCATAAGAATGCAGATGGGTGCTTGATCCAAGCTTGTCCCTCAGACGGTACTCAACATTGCTGTGGTCGACGCACGTTACGGCTATATACTAATACCGGATACGCAGGAGTCATCTGTGGAGGTCAGAGCGTGAATGATCGAATTCGTGATTGGCTCAGAATGAACAAGCCAGACTGGGCCGATGCCTTGAATGAAGAGAGCCGTTGGGACATTGTATTTGCACCTATTGTCAATCTGATCAAAGAGGGATTTAACGGAATATCTGGTCATGATATCCACTTCGGATTGGAAAGTGTTACGGTCCCTCCGTGAGTACCTCGTTATCGTGTCATTCTCTTCCGTCAAAATTACCTAAGATGTCTCATCGTGACTTTTAGCGATTGTATCAAAGCTTCCTTCGAACCTTTGCTAGTGAACGCGGTTGAGCTATGTGTCCGACTTCATGATGCGACGCCGAAGAATTACGATATCTCTGTTATAATCGTCTGTGGAGGTACCACGAGGAACGACTGGTTCACGAAAGAACTCTTCGCTCGACTTCAACAACGGTTGACCGAACTTCGACGATATGAGATCATGGCAGAGTATGTGCTAACCAACTTCACTGTCGCGCTGCGTTAACTGACATATCTAGTCCCGGAGTGGTTGCTTTGGGGGCATTATTCTACGCTCGCTCCCCAACCGTCGAGGAATCCTTAATCACCAGGGACCTGGGAGTAACGTACCTTGGTGACTATGATTCGAGAGGCAATTCTTTAGACCCGCACTCCATGAATACCGGTATCGGATGGATTCTAAGAAAGGTGAGATGATGTTGAGTGACTCAAATTGACCCAAGACTAGGGGTGAGCTTATTGACCATAATCGTCTGTAGGGCCAAGACCCGGAGAAGGTACCGGGTATCTTGACGTTCACGAAGATGATTCAGCCGTTCTCTAGCGAGCCCGGTGACACCTTGATCGAATCACACCTGCTCGCAACGCCTGCACACTCCACGTCTTTCGCTGATGCGCATATTCGCAAGAACACCCAAATTGTCTGGCCATGCGATATAACATACCCAGCAAAGGATAAAGATCTCAGGTCTCTTTCTCATCTCGGGACGTTTTCCGGAAGCATACAGCATGAGATTCTTTTCCCCCCGGGGAGCGATGTCGAGGAACAGGTCAAGTTCCAGTTATGTCTCATCAACGACCGGCAACTTCTACGAGGTGACTTCAGCGTGATTCTTCCGACCGGCTCACATCCTTTGCGCGACGTGCGTTATATACCTCTTCCTCTGGCACCACGTTCTGAATATCTCAATGAAGACACGCATCAAGCATTCCACCATGGAAAACAATTGAGATCGAAACAAAAGTGGATACGTCGATCAACGGGGGCACGTGTTTCCGAAGCCGCTCCTTTTTCACTACTACCTCCTTCAAGGGAATCTTCAACCACGACACCATCTTTCTCCTCTAGAACTAGGCCCCGTGAAAGCTCCGACTGTCCTATGGATATGAGGTCTTCGCAACATCCTGTTCATGCATTTCCCCTTGTCCGAGTTCCCCATACAGCGGCCATGCCTTCACGACGTCCCAGCCAGCTCCTCAGACCGTCTTTAAACTCTGTGCCGTATGATTCGAATCCTTTCTTCGAACGCGAGCTTGCCCGAATGAGGAAAACACGTGTTCCTGGACAAGCGTTGACGTGAGGCTTCCTTCATCAAGACAAGCTCCTGAAATCAAGGCATTCCCGCCAAAGTCGAACGATATATGTCCGCCGGATGGGATTATCCTTTCCATTGCTCCCTGATTTCGTCGTACAGATCATATAAACACTGTGGGTCAAGGTACCCAAAATTTTTCTTCATAACAGTGAGTTGTTAGTACATTAAGCAGTATCCCCTATTCTACACGTTATTCCTATGGACTGGGATCGAGTTCCTCAGGTTCGTATTCTAAACTCGGAGGAAAGCTGCAGGTGGTTGATCATCTATACCGAAGGGCAGAAGCAATCGCCATCTATCCGCAAGATAGACCTAAATGTGTAGGGCTTAAATGACTGGACAAGCCGGCCTCTGATCTGAGCGCCGATAGAGTTCTTCTTGGCCGTATGTTATATGACACCTGCTCGTTAGGGACGTAGAGAGACAAAAGTTGGGGTATCTTCCAGTCATCGCTCGGCGTATAGGTCCGTGTGCGGGATCGTAGTTGTGTGTGCCATCCGATCAATATGAGTCAGGGGACTGTCCGCTCAAAAGGTACCTCCCGATCTTACTACTACCTTGCCACTGTCAGAGAAATTTACTTCTTGAATGATGATGGGGCCAGAGATAGATGGTTTATTGTCGGAGACGGAGACTGTCTGGACCCTCCAATGGTTATCGAAGGGGCCGTGCCGTGTCCTTTCCTCAGCAGGCTCAGCTCACTAGCCAGTCATTTGCCCTCGACCCATTGATGATGCAAGCCACGTTACTCAAAATTTCGGACTTTTGACCGAGCGCGTTAATCAAGGTTGGTCAACCTCTATTTAATCAGGGATTCAATGATGCCTAACGGAACTAGCCTATTTAAATTTGAACATATCTACTATATCCAGTTTAACAACGACCTCAGCCTGAGAACATCCGTACTTACTTGCCCTGGAAGCCGCTCGAATTTTACTGGACGCTTTCTTTCACTATCTGGGTTTGCGCAAGAGATCCCTGGGATATTAAAAAAAAACTTTGAGAGTTTTGAGAGAGGGGAGAGGGGAAGTAGACATATCGAGGGTCCCCTAGCGGCCGAAGGCCTCCTTAATAAAGCTACATTTCAACATCGACAGGCAGTAAGTCTCGTTTATATGCTATTCAAGGCCCATTGCTGTAACTTTATACCACGGCTATGCCCTTCTCATTACGTTTTATTGTCTTGCTGTTTATATTCCCGTCGAACCTAGGCGTACGGGTTCTGTGCAAGTCACTCGAACAAGGCTTGCACCTTTGCGCGGTGTTCGGGAAAAGTAGCCTCTATGGCGAAACTAAGCAAGTCTCTCTAATATCATAGTACCGTTATCTTTGCTAATCTCATTGGTAAAGCCTTTCAACATCTCTGGTCGCGCACGTTATCCAGCTTGAAACCCTTAGCTCCTCCCTATGATATGGATCTTTCTCTTCTGATCGAGCATCACTAGGTAGGGACGAATTTCCCAGTCACACTTCTAGATTATGTGCGACGATTAGTCTGTCAATAAAGTTTGACTTACTGAGCAGGTTCAGATCTATGGCAGGGTCAGGGAACTTCACCCTCCCGCGTAGTCACAACAAAACTAATTAGCACCTGATCTCGACCGATTCGGTGGCTGGGCCTCAAAATTGCCCCGTAGCCTTTGATAGTATACGGCAATTGCAACAAATATCCAACTTAACAGGATCATCCTATCCACAAGTTCGTCAATTTCTCAACTTGGCGACTGATTAGCCAAGGCTTGTAGATGATTTCCGTGTCTCTGAGGCTCTAAGTTAAAGACCCTCATGCTGAACGATCAACGCCGAGAAGTCCCCCAGTAGAAAGATCCTAGGCGACCAAACTGTGAATCAGAGACGGCTTGATATCTATTCTCGGGGTACCATCAAGGTCATTTGTTACAGATTTTGTTGCGAGCAATTTGGCCGTGCAAAGTATTTTCCACGGACCATTGCGAATTATCTTAGAAGTGTCAGATGCAGGCGCGGCATGTTGAGACATTGCTACGCTCTATGCGAATAGCACAGAATTGGGAAATTTATAGACGAATCCAGTTCTAAGTTTCTAGCGTATTATCTCGGAGAGTCTTAGAAAGCCCGGGCCAAAGACAATCAGTCTATGTGTCAATTGCATGATCACCGGTTACCAAGAGAACAACATATTTGCGAGAAATTTGTCATTGAAGACATCACGATACTTTAGACGGCGACCAAGCACGTATATTTATAACTGATCGTCATGAGTGAGAAAGGTGACTAATCCATGAAATATACCTATGGCCACGTTCGATGTATATCTTCGTCTAATCAGCACAAATTTGACATACGCCCCTCGGTAGTCTGACTTACTTAGGATATACAACTGTTCGTTGGGTGACGTCAATTTGACCGAGTCTAATGATTGTTGAAGCGGACGGGAAACGTGTCGACCCTAATTGCTCTCATTCAAATATTTATAGCTCGGAAGATGCTGGAAACCCGTGGGCACACACCGTCTTCTTCAAAAATTCTCAAAAATTTCTCAAAAGGAGAACTATCATATTCTTCAAAACTGTCGTCGCAATCGAGTTACTTCTCTTCACTCCACTGCCGACTCTGCTGAGTCCCTCCAGAGAATACCGGATAGACTGGTCTCGCAGCTTGTCTTATGTGTGACTGGATGTATGACTGGAATCAATATGAGGGCAGTCAAACCTCAGCAAAGTCTGATCTTTGATCTACCGACCCTTCGCAGTCAGATACTCGAGCGCTATAGGTCTCAGGCGTACGAAAAAGCGGCCGCCCGCGTGGATAAGCCTCCGAGTATCAGACAGACTGAAGCACTGAATCGTGGTGGAAAAATCAATCGACCTTTGAACGCGTTCATACTTTTCCGCTTCGCCTATTATTGCTCGATAGTCGAATACCTCGCGAGCCGGTACGACGTCTACAACAATACCGTGGTATCCCAGGTTGCCGGGGGGTTATGGCGCATGGATCCTATAACGCAATACACCTACAAATCACTGGCAGAGATCGAGCGCCGAAATCACTCCGAGGCCTATCCAGATTATAAGCTCCATCACAAGCCCAATTCCAGCAAGTCCTCGGAACAGGCGGTTGTGGCTAAATACCAAGTCAGCTTTTCAGGAAACATTAACACGGAGATCTTGGAACCTTCCCTGAACGAGGCTTATGAATTTGACTCACCCCCAAGCCCTTCTACGGGCACGGAGACTTCGTGCTCGTTTTGGACCAACGTACATGACTCCACATTTGACTTAGACTATATCAGCAACTTCATGGAGATAGCGGGTAGTTATCCGTCCCCTTATTTCATCGAGAACTGAGTCATCCATTCAACCGACGACATTTTCAATCAAATTATTGATGAGAGTTGAGCTACAATGCTGATTGATTCCAGTGCCTGAATTGAGGTACTCTTACATTTGGGCCTGGGCCTTGCCTAAACAGGGCAAGCTCCTCTAAACAAGCATTAGGTCTTGTAGATTAATGCCGTCTCGTCATTATCTCCAGCCATTCTATCAGAATGTGAAGATGCAGTGAGTCTGGGGATTAAAATATTAAGTTCTATTTTCTTCGCCTGCAGAGTCACGAACAATCAAACTGAATGATCCGCTATGTACTTGGTAAGCATGCTCAACGGTAGGTACCATACCCGAGTTTTCCATGGTAGCAATACGTGAGGTGACCGAAGGTCGATTGAGCGTATTGTTGCCCTATAGCGGCGGTTGAAAGCAATCAGAATTCTGAACATCATGGCCTTGTGGATATCGTGTTGCTCTTGGTACTTGAGTTATTCTGTATCTGACTTTCGATACCAGTAATCCATAGCTTTCTCCTCAGCGAAGAAATGAGAATGTCTCTTAACATGAAACATAAATAAAATAAGATCATTAAAATCATATACGCCGGCGTTTGCATGTTTCGGTTGTTGGATCAGACTTTTCGGATTTCCTGCGCTTTAGCATTTGACAAGTCGATTGCGAGTCACCTCCGTCTGCGAAAGAAGAACGCGGAGGGGAGGGAATCTGAAGATATAATATCTGCGCGAGAGTCAAAGGGAACCCACTGATAGGATGAGTACCTTTCTCGGGTTCGAAGAGGCTGATGTGGATGGGTGTATCTAGACTGGATATAATAACGGAGCAGCGAGTGAATCCCGTTTTAGGGAATTCTCTGTATATTTTATTTTTTTTCCCTACCACAAAATACGCGCCCTGTAAATACCTACAAAGCGCTCTTGAGATTGCATCGTCCTCAGGCCATCGGGATTGAATTGTCATTTTGGCATGGAACTGGCCATCCCGAGGATCATAAGCTGGTATTTGAGAAAGTGTGCAAAAGAAGCACGAGGCTACCATGGCCATTGCAAGTCGTCGTGAATCTGCTCTCACTTCCGATGTTTTCATATGATTAATTGTCTGCTCCTCGATTGCCTCAAGTATGCACGCGTCGTCCCAGGAAAATGATGGTCTTGAGAGATATGGGTCTATTCGATAGTGTTTCAGATCCCTTTCTGTCTTGTCGACGGTATTTAAAAATTTCTCATACATATGACTGGCGTCAATTGCACATCTTATACATACTATGAGCCGTTGGATCCATCGAGGAGTGAATATTTTGGCTATTTTGCTTCTGACAGAGAGATCCGATGTTCGAAACCGACCGGTACCGAAGCTGGCGCAAAGATCTAGCATTCGGGTATCTAGTAGTGAAAGGGCATTTACTTCCATCATACCTACCCATGCTGGGCAATTAGCTACAAATACTCCATCCAAGCTCTCTCTGTGCGGATGGTCCTTATCGGGTTCTGTTTTCTGTTGCTTGTAAGGTAGTGGTTCGAAAAGGAAAGGGGCAGTGCAGCTTGTTGTGACTCTAAATTTTTTTAGCGCAATTTTTCGTGAAAGAGACGACATCGACAGCATTGAATTGAATGCTGGCAGGGATTATACGTACGCTTGCCATAAGGTTTGCTCAGGCTCGGCTAGTAGCGGACCTTTATTTTGCTTCTCAATGCAATGAACATCCGCATATGAACGGTATAAGCATAGATGACCTTCGAACGTTGTGGATGTGATGCCGATATGCGTCGATCCATAACGGTCATCAAGCATTGCATTTCGCGACACTCCAGCGCTGAATTGGGACTGTAGAGTGTCAGCCAGAACATTGACATCGTAAAAAGCACCTGTTTTAAGAAATTTGGCCAAAGAAAGTATTCTCTTCCAAAGACAACGATTTCTTTTGAACACCTTGGCGGTAGTTGCCCGAAACGAGTCGATGCATTGTGCTATAGGCCATTGCATTGCACCTAAAGCCGCACTATTTATAGATCCTAAACAACCATATCAGTATCCACTCTCTTATTTATCAATATCTAGGTAGCAACATCGTAAACATACCGCCACTCGTACCAATAATGATATCATAGTAATGATGCGGTAACAGTTCACCAGGCAGCAGATTCTCAAGCTCACGGATGGCGACCAGCGACGTAAATGCATATACTCCACCGCCGTCGAAAGTCGCTACACGATATCCAGATTGCTGTGGTCGTAAGCGCTTTCGAAGATCAGCGCTTTTCCCACAGGCAGGACATTTCCGAAAGCGAGCCAGGGTGGGACAGTAGTGCCGTGGTCTGTTTGCGATACCGGAGTATCGCCACGCACATCGCTCACATATTCCGTGACCACAGGGAAAACGGATTGAGCATGGCGTATCCCAAGGACAAAGGCAGCACAATGATTCGACACCTATTTGGTTTAGAGCTTGCAGCCAACAAACTTGGTCGATGTCACCCATCATTTTTTTGATGGCCGGGAAGAACTCTGGCGATGGCTGGTGGGGCTTCCGGCTACGGCGTTCCGCGACAGTACGCCAAGCGTCTCTGCACATCGGCTCATAGATGGCGGAAAAACTATCGTCATGTAGGATGCCTGTACACAACATCTTAGTAGGAGGCATTACCCAAATGGATAATTATATGATCTGTATACCTCGAGGGAGTATGGACATATCACTTAAAAACATCTTCGCAAAGATTGGCGCGAGCAACGCTTCGCACTCTAAATCAGGCGGGACAGCACATAGCCACTTCCCAAGCCCATTATATTGCAGTGGCTCTTTACCTGGCCAGAAACACCTCCTGAATACCTTTGGATACCAGGATCCGCAATTCAAAAGTTTCGAAGCTGCTTCTGATGAAACCGGCGGGCTACATGACGCGACTGACTCGTCAATTAGATATTCTTCGCAAAGAAACACTGTCTCTTCTAGGGTCCATAGATGGCCTCTTTTCTCTCGTCGTTCGATGCCTTCGAGGACAAAGGCTTTGATACCGCACAGGAGGGGAGCAATTTGAAACTTGCCATCGTAATTCAGGTTGTTCACAATCACCGGTTCAAATAGATCTCTCGCACCTGGCCTCTCATATGCTGCTCGGTTGTTCTTTTGCCCGATGGGGCTTATTTCAGGTTTTCCATCTGCCGAAGAATTTATATCAAGAAAGAAGACAAGCCGAGCATGCGGTACTACTCCGTCAAGAAGTCTCACATTGCGAAATTCTTCCAGCCAGCGTTCAGCGTCTGCGGCTTGCGTCACTCGAATACACACCACGTCACTAAATGCGAGGCTCAACCTGTGAAATATCTGGGTGGCATCACGTTGAAGAAAGTCTAGATTTCGTTTTGCACATGCATATGGAGGCGGAGCCTGTATATCATGTGTCAAGTGAACCAAATTACAGATAATTGGTCTTGTGCATAAAGCGCGATCATCCGAATAGAGCGTAGTGTAGAGCCCTGGGCCACGCAAATCCAGATCCTCCCAATTCATAAAGGTAACTACGGCGGGCGGTAGTGTAGACGTTGCCGACGTTTGAACATTCAAAGAAGATTGAAAGAGCTCTAACCGTGCAGTAGAATCAATTTCCATTTCGTGCGGTAGACGAACCACCCATGGCTCCATGGCCAGAAAAATGCAATACTATTGCTGATCGTTACCTCCCGACCTTGCCCTCGCCGAAAGGCGCCTCTTTCTTAGATGTAGTGTCGCCGCGTATCAGAAACTGATCAAGATCTTTCCCGAATCTGTCATTGTGGTCGCTTGCTAAATTCGAGTGCAAAGGACTGACAGTCCAAAGATGGAAAAGGTCATCTAAACTCATTATTAGATGAGACCAATCTTATCATAAGGATTGACTCTGCTTCCACTATTGTATTATGAGCCTAGTACTCGAAAGCTTTGGGACTGGACGAGTTAAAGGTTGCAACTCGCCCATCGTTACACCATTCAATCGCGTCTACATTCCAAATATCAGTGCTCTGGGAATGTCTTAGCGGAAAAGAATCGTAACTTTCAGTAAATACTACTCGTATTACCGGTATTGTAGGTCTTACGATCAAGGTTAGATGATTGCAATTGTTATCTTATGGGTTCCATGACTTCATCACACAAAGACACGGTACGTAGCCCAGCTCAGTTAAATACGTCACAATTGTCCACGCTAGTAATGGTTTCAAGTAGGTCAAGCAGTCCACTGCGATAGGCGAAAAGATACCAAATCCAGACCCACCAATAATGCTGTGAGATGCCAGATATGGACCACCGTAAGACCGAGAGCGTTACAGTAGCTTGCGAACTTCACGTTTCCTTAGACTTAGAGCCCGGAAGGCTTGTCCTCGAGTTGGGATTCCGGACTGAATGTTACTGCGGCTTTTTTCCGTTGACCGCCAACCAACGCGGAGCAACATTCTGTAAAAATGGGGCAGCTTCTTATGTATTCAGCCCGGTAAAAGTCGTGTGTCTCTATCGAGCAGTGCTATATAATGATTATGGAAATATTGTCTAATGGGGTATCCGTGATCTCTCATCTGGCTGAAAGCTCAGAATGTCCTTCGAAAGCATAGATATTTTCGATATTTCCCCTAAGATCACTCCAGACGAATGTTATGTAAGATGTAATTTGTATGATCAAGCATTCTAGTTGCCTGTAGTATGGAATACGTGCTAAAGGTCGAAAACGCAATTTGTGTGTTGACAAGTATAGCAAAGCTAAGGGATGGACAAGAAAAGCAAGAAGAAGCTGGAGAGAGACGGTAAAAATTTCAACATCGCTCGGACATCGCTCGGACGCGTTGTCGTCTTCGTACGTATTCTATAGCAAACAGTGTGACTCTTCCCATCTTGTCCCATTCTTGGGCACGGTATATTCGTAGCATTCGTGAATGTATCTTCGCGAGATAAAACTTGAGTGCAGTTATCTTCTTTGACTTTCTCTGGCAGTTGACGCAATCTGCCTGGTCACGTCTAGGGTGGTTCCATGACT